AAATAACGCAATGTGACGCCAAATCAGTGAAACGCTATGTTCAAATCGGGTAACATGTTACCTCGTTAAAATGGTCTCAGACACATTTTGGTGCAAATTTAGTAGTGGATATTGAATGAAAGTAGGGTTCGATACTGAATTTATTGAACGAGTTGAATAAATTTATGTATTATGCGAGCATGATATTTTATTCAACGAGAATTTAACATTCAATTTATCACATTCTAAAAAAATAAAGAGTGTTTAAATCGGACTCCCAAACAAAATTTACCCATATTTCAGACTGCTTGTCGGCGGGATTTTTCGGCGGGTGCGAGTGTAGTTTTTATCCTACCATTGTTATTGATCTCCCCATTCCTATCTCATCAAGAAGTCCCCTAAGGTCATTTTAAAATGCCGGTAAATAACGTCATAAAACCACGTGATTACAATGTACATGTATATAAAAATGACTCAATATTTATTTTAGGTCAAAGAGCACACTTTGCGGTTTGACAGTAAAATGTCCTTGGTTGATAGCAATATGTTACGCATAAGTAAGACAGATTTGATCAGTAAGCTTTTATTTTATGAAGACAAAACAGCATTTTATAAATAAATAAAATTATTTTACCAAACATTCTTATTGTTTCATAACCCTTTTAGACAGTGTCGCTTTTAATCTGATAAAAAAACAGTTCAAAAATGATAAATTTGAAAGGAAAACTCCACGACAACGCTTATGTTCGTATATGAAACGCAAATAAGCTGTTAGTAAAATGAAACACTACAAAAATAAGAATAACCCAACTAAGAAACCTGCTCATGCATATTCAGCCAAAATGCAGCCTTCTTATTGGTGGTTCCAAGCTAATTATTAAACTAAATATGCAATAATTGTAATCCTTTGATCAATTCAGAATATATCAAAAGGTAAAACTACTAAGTGTTTTTTTTTTTTTTTTTTTTTTTTGTTTTTTTTTTATTGGTTTTTTGTTTATTTTTTTGTTGAGAAAATCGATTTTACGGTATATCTTGTATCATTGCTTCGAAAGGACACTGTTTATTATTAATCTATATAGCTATTGACTTCAACGGGAAAGGGTGTTTATTATTTGATTTCGACATCATTTGACCCACAGTACATAGCTTAATGACCGAAATCTTGATATAATGGCCTTGAAAAAAAAACTAAATTTTGTTACTACATGTATTTATAGTAACATAGATAATCGGTCTTATTACATAGCAATTCTTTTGCCCTCCCCAAAGGGTAATACAATAAATTTATGACCAAAAAATAAACTTAAGATAACGTTATATCAAACCTAAAATGCTATATCATATCATAAGCACATAATCATTTAGCCCCCCAAAAATATAATGATTACATTTTATTACGTTATAGTGTTTAAATGGTCACTTTATCCGTCTTAACCAAACACTTAAGCGAACGAGGTCATACAGTATCCATGCCAATAAAACCTCTGTGTGGCTTTAAAAGACCTCCCTGACCTTGCTCTCAACTTTTTGACCAGTTTCAATATTTAGATAGTATCATAATAACTACTAGAAGATGAGATATTTAAATGGATACTTCTGATTTTAAGGCATCGAAATATTAGTACAAAAATGTCCCGATATCTATATAACACATTCGAGCTTGCTAAACGTTGTGTTGATGGTACATGTAAGTATGATGAATGTACTTCTTAAAATGAGTTTCCTTCGTCTAATATAAATTGCTTGTTACATATAGAAGAGATATATTGGCTGAGTAATGTTGCCATTCCATTATTTCTCTGGAACATACTTAGACATACCGAGTCTGGGAGTCACTAGTAAGTTCTGTTTCCGTCAGCTTCTCTGAAAGATGGTCTCTACAGTTTGCATAGTTATGATAGGCAGAATAAAGAGCTGTATATTCAACCTTGCATGATCTTAAAAAATATGACAACAACAAAAACAGTTCAAGCAACAATATGTTTATCGTCGATCAATGGCAGATAACTCCAAAAACGAAAACGTCGATTCCAAAATACATTTATTTTCGCTTTTATTGTTTCTTACATTATATATCAAGATTCTGTAAAGTTTAAAGAATGGAAAGTCTGTAATACAATAAATAACTATGTTGATAGTATTTAGTACCTTAAACGACAACAAACCACGAAATACTTATATATTGATGTTGTTTGTATGTGTGAGATACATGATCCGATATTAAATAATTATGTACATGTATAGAAGATGATAAAATGTTCCAAAACAAAATATCATTTTTCGTCATATGAATGATTATACGAAAAGCCCGTAGAACTATAGCAGCATTTTTAAGAAATATTTAAAAAGATTAGGGAAATGATACATTCCTATTGTTTGTATCAATATACATTCCTATTTTTTGTATCAATATTTGAAATTCTTTATGTCCATTGTGCCATTTGTAGACAACGCCACTGTGAAAGTATTCTTTTACATTTCTTCTGCCTGAAAACTGTAACAAACGTCCTTAGGAGGTATTTATATGACAAACACGATAACCATTAAACTATTACATTTATTAGAATATATAATATCAATACGGGTACACACATGACATTTACACGAACGGCAAAACAGTTTCAATATAATTTCTTTTCTTCTTGTCAACATATATACATGTAAATCAAAGGAAGGAGAGAATACACATCAAACATCAGGATGGTTTATAACTGGTTTATTCTAGGATCTACATATATACATGTACAATCAGTAATCAGTATATAAATACAAGTATTTTATACTGGTGTGAAATAACAAGAAATAATTAAATTAAATTAAATTAAATTATAGATTTATAATAAAACTGCACGTTTGTAACTTTCGTCGATTTTCGTCAGACTTTCATAACGTGTTATACAATTGTAAAATTATGAATTCATTTACATATTTACACACAAGGAGTGCCTGTTTTATAAATTCTTGTATAAGCAAGATCTAGGACGGTTAATATGGTCGCGTCTAAACGGTTGCGCAACCGTTTATACATGGCATGTCAGAAAGCTTTAATACTACATATTTCTTCTGTTTTAGGATCATACATTAAATTAATTTAAAACTTTACGACGGTCGTGTATTTGGAATATTTTATTCTCGTATATATACGTCTTGACTTTCCAATGAAATTGACGTTACAAATGTACAGTATCATTACTAATGTATTGGTAATTTCTTGTTTAAATTCACTAGTTCTGTACATGAACTTGTATTTCAAAATTTCTATCATAACTCACTCATTCAATAACTTTAAACATGTTATAGAATTTAGAAATAAGTCATTGCACACAACAGTATATATGGAATAAGGATATTGAATGAGTATAGGTTAAATACTGGATATATTAAACGAGGTGAATGAAATTATATTAGGCGAGCTTCTGGCAATGCTTTTACGTGATGTCAACTTAAGGGTTTTTTTCAGTTACTCTTTTAAATAACCATTGAATAACAGTACAACAATTGTAACAATAGCATCCTAGAAATGAATCAAACGCGGTAACTACTTAAGGAATCAATCAAACGCGATAATTCAAGAAGATATACACAAATTGTGAAAGAGTATATCAATGCATGTCATATGTGTTACTATATTCAATGAATTTTATGAGGTAGAATGGTAAGTATCATCATAAGTGTTGCCTTATACCTTGGCTAGTTAAGTGAATGGAAGATTAAACAGTATCCATCCTTTATCGAGTAAAGTGAACTGTAGATAAAACTGTCCATCCTACAATGAGTTAAGTGAATGGAAGATGACATGAATAAAAGTTCAACCTAATGTTAAGAAAATGGAATATAAAGTATAGATGCCCTACATAGAGTGATACAAAATATGTGCCCTATATCAAAATATGTAAATGAAGGGAAAAACATACGTCCTATATTGATTTAAGTAAATACATTTAGTCGCCCTCATATCGAGTTTAGCGAATGGAAGAATTGATGAAAACTGTCATTTTCATCGAATTACGAAAAAAATGCGTTTCTCTACGTTCAATCAAGAGAAAGAATGGGATATGAAAATAGTTGCCCTGCAAAATGTTTCTTCACATTAAGGTAAACAAAAGTGCACTACATCTTGTTATGTGAATTAAAGATGAAAAAAGTAGTTGCCTGACATGGAATAGAAAATTTCTGAGATACAAATACATAGATGATTTACATCGGGGTAACTGAATTGAAGATGTTGTTGTTAACTATGCAGTTAGACAATAAGTGGTGATGAAATAAGTTCAATAGGCAAATACACAATAGTTAGTTATAGTATTACATAATCTTTTTATTGTGTAAGCAAAGTTATGATGTTTATAATGATTTAAGTATTTATAAATCGCTTTGAAACCGATAGAAGAATCGAAAGTCATAAGAAAAGAGCAGCTACACACAATATATATTTACGCTCTTTCATTGAAAGGCTAAATGAAATGAATTTTCATTTCACGAATTTCAAAGCTTTTTATTTTTGGAGTACTTTTAAAGTTTCCAAAAAGTTACTCATTGTCCAATTATCTGAACCATCGTTTTCTTCGATTGGGTTTTGGCATTTAGTACGGTTATAGTGATTTAGTATTTTGTATGGAAGTCCAAATACGTTTTAGTTTACTTTTTTGCTTTTTTGCTTTTTTGCTTCTTTTATGACAAAATAATTTCACATTCAGCCATCGCGACTTTCCTCGGGTAACAATCCATTATCCATTAGTTAAAGGTTTAAAGAAATCATGTGTGTCCTTTCTTAAGAAGAAAAAAATACTCGTTTCTGAAAAATAATATGCTTTAAATGATGTTGATGATGACAAACCTGATGATGATGATTGTTCGGTAAATATCACAGAATTTGCAACTAATAATTTTGATTGAACATCATCTCTTTGCGGTTGAATAATAGATTTTGGGGGATAATTCCCTTTCCCAAACTTTCCCGACAGAGCTTTTTTTGAAAAATCGTCCCGTTTTTGGGAGAATTTTTTATGGGCTTTGGGTCATTTGTTTCCATAAACTTTCTTTACTGTCATAGACATGGATGCTATCTGTTCCAAACACGTTTTCAGCTCGGACAATCTTTTATCATTTTGCACATTAAGCAAACTGGCCGTCGTAAGTTCCAGTTCATTTCTTAGGCCAATGATGAGAGAGTTTTCTTCGTCAATGCGTATCCTCAGTTTTTCCTCCAGTTCCTCGATGTTCCTCTGCAGTATGCCCATTTGTATCTCTGTATTTGTCTTTTCAACTTTCAGCTCCCTGTTTTCTTTTACAGCCTCTTTATAATTTTGCAAGGTTTCGTTATGTTTCTCTAAAGTTTCTACTGATTTCATAAACAGAACATCATGTTCTTTCTTCAAAGAATTCAATTCATATTCTGTATTCTTTAGATCTAATCCATTCACATAACAATTGCCGCTGATATTCAGTATTTCAACCTCCTGCAAAGATCCGTGGCAATTTTGACGATGCTGGGCGTCCATAGTGTCTAATTTATTTTTCAGTTCTGTGAGTTCCTCTGATTGTGCTTGAATATGGTGGTTGGCTTCGGTCAATTGTCTTTTTAGGTTTGTATTTTCTCTTTCCAATACTTGTTGATTGCCGAAGTCAGCATTATCTCCAAGTTCTTGATCAGTCTGTATTCCTATAATAACATTAATCACGTGAACGATTATCAGAAAGATGAAATATACAAGTCAGTGACTAATTGTATTTATACACCCATTAATCAGTGAGAAGAAAAGTAAACTCTACATTTTAAGACGTACGAAATTTTCCTGAAGAAAAACACAGAAAGGTAATTTCATAACAGAAAAAAAATCAAACACCTAATAATATTACTTAAAGATTTTTTTAGGTTGGTCCGATTTATCAATAACCATATGTTATGCACAAAAATCTTTAAAAATGAAATATAATTTATCCGTTTAAAGTTCATTCTGCTAAATTAAGAATTTTCATAGAATCGTCTAACTTCATAATAAGTAGATAATATTTATCAGGATGTAAACTCTAATGAAAGTCTTAAGCATGTATTTAAATTTGATGCAGATAACATTGATACCAATGTCACAGCAGTAAGTGCGTGATTTGCTTCTTCGACTTCCCATTTGTTTGTCTTTTTGTGATTTTGAATCAGCAGTTTTTTCAACGTCCGTCTGCATCTCATCATAAAAGCTCTCACCAAGACAACATGGTATTACGAGTCTACAGCTGCAAGGAGACCCCTCAAATTTTATAAATGCCTCGACAATCTGTTTTATGCGAATAGCAAGCTCGTGGAGTTGGGTTGATGAGTAACGATGGAAATCAGCTCCCCTAACGCCCACTTCTACCAAACTATCACAGATAACTAAGAATGATTAAAAGCTAAGTGTTAAAAAGAAACTAAGAAAGTAAAGTAAACTAAAATGATTTTTCATTACCACAGCTCCGTATCAATAAGAGAAAACGGGTTCCTTAAAGACGTTTTCGGGAGTTTTCATACAGACATATAGGCAAAATTAAAACTGTTAAATAGAATTTCTTAAAACTTGGCATGTTCTTTGAGTATGATAATAAAAATATTTCAAGCGAAATAAAGTGCAAAACGGCAAAATTGAAAATGCTTCATGGTCGGTTTGATTTGGCGTGTTCATGATCGGTCTAATTTGTACAAATCAGGGAATCGCTTGTTAACAAACATTTTGAAGAAAACATGGAGTATGGCTTTACACGAAAAAAAGTGTTGTTTTGTTTGTTAAGTGAAACATACCTAAGTCTGTTAAAGGTGGATCAAAGTGTAGCACATTACTTTGGCTTTGGGCGAACTTGTAGACCATGGCAATAAGCGAGTCCTTTCTTAGAACAGCCATAATCATTTGAAGATAGAGCAGGTCGTTCATTGTGATGAACTTTCTTGCTTGCAGAAGATCATAGACCTTGATAGTTGAAACACAATCATCATCCATACCTTGAAAATATAAGACATCTTACTTGCAATTGAACTTGTATTTAAAATAGAGAATCATAAATCAATTTAGAGGTTAATGTCAAGGGATGAATTTAATTTTGTTGTTTTGAGTAATAACAATAACTAATTAATTTACCATAAAAAAGTGTTAACGACTTGAAAATGGTCAAAATAATGGGTGTGATTAAGCAATAAAACTTTTAAACCCTAAAAGCATATTTTGAGAATTGTGGAAAATCCCTTAAGCGAATGTTACAAGAGAAAACATATGAGATATGTGCATTTTGTCCCAAATATAACATAATTAAAGCTGTATTAATTATGTTATCCCTGAGATATATAGTCAATCATAAATTTACCTGATAAATCTCCGTGTTCAATATAGTACATCGGGTTTGGCCTTTATTCACTTTCGATCGATTTTCATTAAGTACATGGGGCGTCCGTGGCCGAGTGGTTAAGGTCGTTGACTTCAAACCACTTGCCCATCACCGCTGTGGGTTCGAATCCCGACAGGGACTTTGGATTCTTTCATGTGAGGAAGCTACCCAGCTAGCTTACAGAACGTCGGTGGTTCTACTCAGGTGCCCGTTCGTGCCTGAAATAATGCACGGAAGGGCACTTGAGGTCTTCCTCCACCAGTAAAGTTGGAACGTCGCGATATGACCTATACTGTGTCGATGTGACGTAAAACCCAAACAAACAAACATTAAGTACATCTTTTTGGTATACAAAGATAACGATATGCAATTAACCAGTTCAAAAATGTAGAAATTTGTATCTTATTACCAATTTGTTACACTGTTAGATGCTATTTGAAAATGTGCCATCAATTGTTTGACATTTATATTTGTGGGTGTCACTTTTAATCCAGCAGTAATTGTGTTAATTCAAAATATTGGTGGAAATCATATTTACTAAGATGTTATAATCAATCTTTTGATAATTTTTCTAATGTGTTATTTCCATAATTCTCACCATATGATGTGGTCTGTAACTGTATGTATATTGCTGGTACTGGTTTGACATAGGGCACTTGTAGGGGTTTTGTTCTCATCCATGAATATTTATTTACAAAATGACCTTATTCCCTTTGTCATTTGTTTCCTACGATGGTATATCTCCATCTATTACTATGATATTATTATTATTATTATTATTATTATTATTATTATTATTATTATTATTATTGCAGACATCACAAAATAAAATGATTTTACCTTCCATGAGGAACTTGATTATATCCAATTCTTCGACAGTTGTCTCTTTTGACAGTTGCACCAGAAGTAAGTTTAGGTTCCACCGGTCATAAGGCTGTCTCGGCATAATTCGCAAATTAGTTCCTGCGTGCGCATGTGCCTGCAAATTTGAGATGGGATCATTTTCATCTGTTGTTTCATCTGTAACTTCGATATACCTCTCTTTAACAAATGTTTGATCAGTTTCTGAGGTTTCTCCAGTATTAATTTCTTTACAAAATGTTTCTTCAGTTCCGGAACATTTAAGATTGTCAAAGGAGAAAGTTAGATAATAACAACTGTCTACCGCGGCGTCTAATTCAACGTTTGCTTCTTTATCCGCTTTGATATTAAAACAATTTTGCATCATCAGTGATCGTGGTGTCTTCTATTTTAACTGTATTATCTGATAAAGGGCATGAGTACAAATAAACTAATTTGTTAGATTATCCCTTTTATAATCCAGTCATATAAATTAAACCTATAAAAGTGAATTGCTAAATCAATTTATGCACATACGCAGCTCTACTTCAAATTGTAACTAACGTGAACTAAGATTTACAACAATCGAAATTGGGAGTGTGTCTTTTCCCATGACGTAAACTGAATAAATATGTGGGCCATGGGAACCAAGGATGTTTAGGTCGTAAATTATATCGTTGTTACGTTGGCCTTGATTTTTATTATCGTTGGTAGTATTGTCGGATTTTTCAATGCAAAAGTTCAATTTTAAGCTCATGAGTAACATTGAAACGGTTCACATCTTCATGAATTATATAAATGATTTGTATTATCTTTTACGTATACATGATACAACATATGAAGACAAATGAAAGTGTTATGTATAACATTTTCGGCACTAATAATAAGGCTGACAATTCAACTTTATTTTTTATGTATCGAGTCCTAAAAGTGTTAATTTGTATTTCGTTTGTTATCCAAAGGATCCCACAAGCACCTCAAATAAAATTGTTACTGTATTAGTATTTTATTTTTGATGAGCGTCATAAAAAATAGAAATGCAATTCCTCAGACAACAACTAACATGTATTTGTCATTTATATCGGTGGTTTCTGATTAATCAGATAGAGTAAGAATTACTACATGTATACAAAACATGTTTTACCGGTGGTAGAATACACCGTAGGGAACGTGTTACAGTATCGCGTTTTTCGGTTACAGTATAGAATTTTCAAGATGGAGGATTATTTATGGGAAGAGAGGTAGGTGATTTTTATTCAGGTCCATACTACTAGTAGTTTAGTTTCTGAAAGATGTTTTTGTGCTTTGCTTGTAAGGAACAGAATCCGGTATCTAGTCATATATTTCTTCAGACCCTGCACCGCAGATTTATCTCTATATTGTCTCATAAATGTGCAGATTTGACGGTTTAAAAATTTGAATCGAGAGAACAACACATTTTTCTCCCATTCCGATATTATTTAAGCATGCCTAGATAAAGTAAATCTACAAAACGTTAGTCCTTTATGTTTAGAAACGTTTATAAAAGTAAATGACCAGTTGAACCTATTTTCCTGTTGGTAAAATGCGTTTGAAAAAATAAACAATGTTACAGTATAGAGCGAGGTTAATTTTGAAGGGTTACAGCATAGACCTAGCGATTTGTATCAGATTTTGTAACAGTTTATACCCAGATTTCTGTTACAGTTTAGATACTTGCCAAATTTCAAACAAAGTTCGTGTATCCATTATTTTTATGAAATAACTCATACCTTTCTATTTTATACATTCTTGAAAGGTTGTACATTTATTACTTTCTTTCTTCAGCAGAAAAGTTATAGTTTCCTTTTTTTCTTACTTTAAGTTTCAGATTGAGACTTTTTGCAGAATAAGTAATGTCCTAAGTAAGGACTGTTTTCACGACAACAACAGTAACTTTTATCGAATTGTATTGAGAGAAGAAAGATTATTGCTTGTTGCTTGATTTCATTACACATTATAATAATGCCTATTAGTAATAAAATAGAGAAAAAAAAGAATCCTTAATAGAATTCCAACACGGAAAACATGAAAATGTTGCAGGCTCAGTTTGATTAAACCTGTTCATGGACGGTTGTGGTAACTGCTAAGCTACCGTCCACGCCTCCTAGCACCGGCTTCGGCAGAATTCACATTTAACATGAACTGGTACACTTCAGATTTTTTAACATCTGTGGATGTGTTCATATGGCGGTTACCATGGAACCATCAATGTGACACGTTATTGGCATTCTATGAAAAGCGGCATATTACCCCCAGGTATAAAATTGCGTGTGCCCTAAACGAGAATACAATGAGTGAAACTAAACAAAGTGAAATTTTTAGAGGTGATCGGAGGTTATGAAGCCTGCATACCATAGATAAGCTGTCAAAAGACACGATTGACAAGCAGGCAATACCCTAAGAATGATTAAACAGTATTTAAGTGCGCAATACTGCAACCTTAAAATTTTTTTATGTTGGAATTTCCATCTACCATAATGTATTTTGTAAGTATTTAAAAGGGTTTGTAAACATTTTCAATTTTGTTGTGTTGGAATTTCTTTAGGGATTCTGTTTAACTCTATTTTGTTACGTTTGGCTTTCTTGGATTTTAAGTTTCAACGACACTAAGGTCATGTGAAAACATTCCTGCTTTAGTGTTAAGAAAGACCCCAGATACCCTCTGTGAAACATTTCAGACACGAGCGGGCACCTGACTAAAACCACCGACTTTCAGTAAATTATCTTGATAGATTCCTCACATACAAAGAATCCAAAGTCATGATTGGATTTTAACTACAGCAGTAAATGAAAGATGATTTGAAGTCGGCGGCCTTATCCCGACTCTGCCACTTTTATTTACCTCCATCAGGCTCACTAGAAAAGATATTGTAATTGTCTGACCTTAATTTATACTCTATAACTTTCAATATTATTTTCTTTTTCAGAAACATGAAAACTGCTACACAGGATGTCTGAAATAAAAAAAACGACTTTTAATTTAATAATGATAAAATAATCGTAACTTCAACAAAGAAGCATTCGAAATGACGCCATGATTTGATTTGATTTGAATGCTTTTGGTTCGAAATGAGAAGGGTCTTTAAACATTGCCTTTTTTCAAAATCTATGTTTTGGGTTTTCGTTCCCCGATTGCAACCAAAACCATTTGGTAGAAAGTAATGTAAATTTTGACATCACATTTAAATTTAGTCAAGTAGTTACTGAGCGGATGGGATTGCACACACTTGTGTACGTCAGACGGACGAATAGCCATCGGGCCAATAATCTCACAGAGATTTAAAAGTCTATGTAACATTCATATTTACTTAGTATATATAGAAAATATCGAAGTCTAAACTGTAACCGAAATCTGGGTATAAACTGTAACAAATCTGATACAAATCGCTAGGTCTATGCTGTAACCCTGCACAAATTACCTCGCTCTATACTGTAACATTGTTTATTTTTTCAAACGCATTTAACGAACAGGAAAATAGGTTCAACTGGTCATTTACTTTTATAAACGTTTCCTAACATAAAGGACTAACGTTTTGCAGATTTACCTTTTCTAGGCATGCATAAATTATGTCGAAATTGCAGGAAAATGCGTTGGTCTCTCGATTCAAATTTTCAAACCATCAAATCTGCCTATTTATGAGACAATAAAGCGATAAATCTGCGGTGCAGGGTCTGAAGAAATATATGACTAGATACCGGATTCTGTTCCTTACAAACAAAGCACAAAAACATCTTTTAGAAACTAAATTACTAGTAGTATGGACCTGAATAAAAATCACCTACCTCTCTTCCCATAAATAATCCTCCATCTTGAAAATTCTATACTGTAACCGAAAAACGCGATACTGTAACACGTTCCCTACGGTGGAATACCAAGGATACTCCTCAGTGCGTTATTTTAGGGGCGGGCGGTACCTGAGTAAAAACCATCGACTATCTTTAAGTTAGCTTTATGGCTTCCTAACACGAAAATTTAATAAAGACTCTAGCGGAATTCGAAAAAATAGTACATTCGATCAGACTGTAAGCAACTAGTTGTATTACATTTTACCTATTCGTTTTCGAATTCTTTGCTTAACAAGAAATGATGAAAAACTTTGAAATTACCCAAAATCTAGCTTTTCCATGTTAACTTGTGGTCTTTCACCTAATTTTGGCTGAAAAATTGTTGTTTTGTAACATTTTTAATCCTTTTAGTTAACCCTTTCCCTCATGAGCATATTGTGAAAATGGCCGTTTCGTTGAAAAGCCTCCTGTTACAAGTTCAAACTGCTATGAAACTATGAAAAATGCTTCAATACTAATCAAACTTGGCACAAATGTTGAATGGACCATTGCCTTTGTAACGACATGCTCAGTCTTAAATTTCCTGTTACCAAGGCAACGAGGGGAGGTCTTAAAATTGCCAAAAATCATATTTTGCCTTGATTTTTTCCATCAAAATTTATTTCAAAGTGCTGCAACTTCTCAATGGATTGAGGTAGAGTCAAATGCTTTTCAGTGTTGGTTACACGTTATCTTATGATCGACCTGGGGTCATTTTTAGCCTCTCACAAGTCCAAAATTTTCTTGGCGATGAGGGGGACTACCGCCCCCCTTCACCCCCCCCCCAAACAGAAGGGGCACATCCCCCTACTGGCAACCCCCTGATGTATCTTTTGGATGGGGGCGGCGCCGAAAAAGTGCTCACTTTTTTAGCAACATTTCTCAAACGAAAACATGTGTTTTGGGTCCAAATAGGACATTTTTCACTATTTGAGGCCTAAAAGAGGGGGGGGGGGGTCGAAAGTGCGTTGTTTCGCGTATATATGAGGTAAAGGGTTAAGCATGTCTCTTTATATTTTACGTATACTAAATATATAGCAAAATTTCAAGGTAAATGGCTTCCTATTTTTGATTCAGATTTTGCTGTCATTCACAATGCATCGTTCACATTCGTGATAATCTTATGTATATATGATATAACCTTTGTTTAGTTTTATCGAGCGTTAACTGGGTTACTCGTACGTTATAAGTTCAATAAATGTGGTTTATTGATAAACAAACGATTATCATGTGAATGGAATGTCATTGATAAAAGTAGCTCACTCACATGTTCGTCTTCTGTCTTGCTTCGTCGGGACCTTGTAGGTGATTTTCTTGTTGCTCTGCCTTCCTTTAAGGCACCGAGTACTTTGGTAATTGTCATTAGGTTGTACCTTTTTGTACATAATAAATTCGTTTTTGATTGATTGATTGATTGATTGCTTGATCGATTGATTGATTGCTTGATCGATTGTTTGATTGATTGATTGATCGATCGATCAATTGATTGATTTTTATATTGCTAACGCATGTAGAATGTGCGTTAAGTATTTTACTGTTAATATTTCTCTGTCTTAAACGAATATAGTCGTGAATATATGAAATTGTATACAATGAAAAATATTATCCAAATTACAGTCAAACGTGTATGAAGCGTTGCAATGTTCTATCAATATTATTGGATAATACACGTCAGGCGTATACTTAACTCCATTTAAACGATTTTCACATATTTATACAGTTGACACTTGTGACATCACGAGGCGGCGTTCTCTAAAAACACAAACATTTGACAGGTAAAGGTGGTCGTTTGATGAAAGATTGATCTCAATATGCTGACTAATAAACGGTCGTCATACATTAAAGTATATAGATAGAAAATGATTTAAAGGGGACGCAATAGACAAAAGTCGCTTAATACACGTGGTCGCATAGTCAATTTTGACTTTTTTTTGTTTTGGTAATATTGACAAGGCGTTATTGAATTTGGAACTGTTTAAGCACGTTTGGATTAACTAGATTGTCATTTCAAAGTATCAAAAGGGCAAAAAAATAACAAGATTTTAGTGATGTTACTGCAAATTATTATAATATTATGATGATGCGTATACGTAAAAAAGTAAATATCAGTTTACCATTGGCATATATGAACAGTGTTCTGAATAGACCCATAGAACCAGACAAATTAATGGGGTTGTTTTAATGAACTCCACTGAGGTCAAAAGGCCAAAAGAAGGAAAGAATGAATTTCTTACATAGATCAACTAGGGCTCATTAAACGTAAATTTATTCAAAATATACAACATCGGCGATTTGTGCATGAAATTTCGCCAAAAAAAAGTTTTCTGATGCTAGTGATGCTAGCCGTTCAAACACCTGATTCCGTTGCGGATTAGCCAATGCATTTGTTCGGAAGTTCTCCTTTACAGCATGGTTTGTATTGACAGATTGTTCATGGACGGTACTAGAAAATGTTAGCTACCACCTGCGCCCCTAGCACCTGCTAACGCAGAATTCGACATTTTAGAATTTTGAATTTAATTAAAACATCCGCAGACGGGTCCATACGGCGGTTATCATTGAACTTTCAATGTGACACTTTAATACTATTCCATCAAAAGAGGCACATACTTCCCAAGTAAATTGATATGTTTGCACTAAACGAGAAAAAACGGAATCTTTTAAAACAAAACGGACTTCTGGCCGACTTTCAGGGTTTTTACTGTGTAATAGAAAGGTAATTGTTCCAACTTTTATATGACTCTCATAGGTTTCTAAAACAGTTAATGCTGTGATTACGCGCCTATATCCTAAAAAATATTCACTCGTGTAAAATCCCGATAAATTTACTCTAGGCCTATGATAACTCAGCTATATTGGAAAGCGTTGGATGTTGAACCGTTATTCACATTATGCCAACAACAACGTCAGTGCCTGCAAACTTTCATGAAGATCGCATAATTTTCATTTCCAACTGTTTAATAAAACTGCATCACCAGTCAATGGTATTATTTAAAATTGAATGAAATCTCATTAAAGGCACTCCACTGAGGTCCAAAAGCTTAAAAACATAAAATTTGAATTTCTTAAACATATCAGCTCCGGCAGTTAAACAGAAAGATATGCAAAAGATAACAAAGAACTATACATGTACTTAGAAATGAATTCAATATCGTATTTTTGAGGTATTTTTAGCCCAATCTGATTGAAAAGTGTTGCAACGCAATGGGCAATGAATCTAACTGTCACGAATTGTAGAAATGTATTTCCGCGGTTGCCGTTGTAGGCAGAAATGTATTTTCGAGGCTGTCGCCAATAGAAATGTATTTTCGAGTGTTGTAGGCAAAGCTGTATTTTCGAAGCTGTCGCCAATGGTATAAATGTAATTTCAAAGTTGCCGTTGTAGGCATAAATGATTTTTTGAGTCTGTCGCCAATGGCAAAAATGCCGATGATGGCAGAAATGTATTTTCGAGGTTGCCGTTGTAGGCAGAAGTGTATTTTCGAGGCTGTCGCCAATACAAATGTATTTTCGAGGGTTGTAGACAAAACTGTATTTTCGAGGCTGTCGCCTATGGTAGAAATGTAATTTCGAAGTTGCCGTTGTAGGCATAAATGATTTTTTGAGGCTGTCGCCAATGGCAAAAACGTATTTTCGCGACAACCGATGATTGCAGAAATATATTTTTAAGGCTGCCATTAAAGGCAAAAATGTATTTTAGAGGCTGCCATTGTAGGCAAAAGTGTATTTTGGAGGTCTCCGTTGTAGACAGAAATGTATTTTCTAGGCTGCCGACGATGGCAGAAATTCTCTGAAAGTGATTAATATTCTGACAGAAAAACAAGATCACTCTTTTGAAACAGGTAATAGTGTCATAGATCATTATAAAATAGTCACCCTTTGTATATTAAACCAACTCAACACTGTCAAACATCATCATTTAACATGGTTAAGTTTGTATATTTATTAATTTATTTTTTTTTAAAAAATAGGCGACAATTCTGCAAAATACCCCGGAATAGTGAAATTACTTGGTGATGGTGACTTAAGAATGGATACAGACCTTTATTCTGGTTGCTTAATCTAAAGCTCATTTAATTGTTTTTCATTTGGGAGGAAATCATATATATTACCAGCATCTTCGCCATTGAAATATTATATTAAATCGAGTGCAAGCTATTTTTAAATACTTAAATGGCTGATAATAACTATCATTATACCTCAGTAAAGCCTTATATGACGTCACATAGTGCCATTTCGATGTATCATCCTGGAAATGAATTTTCCCCAGGGGAGGGTTATCTGTATAGACTTTACAAAACGTAATGTTTTAGTTCTTTCCCCTGACTAGTTTAAACTGTAGGTGGTATCATGTATTTTCCCAATCTCCTGTTAGCTTATTAGATTTATGTCTTTTCTTTTTGTTTTTTCTCGCAATGATTTTTGACTTTTCTCTCTCATCCTCCATTATCAGTCAATTATAACTGTAATTTTATTACATCATGGAGTTGTATGACCATTTATAATTTGCCATTTTGTAGTATTTATAATTTGCCATTTTGTAGTATTTTGTTTTTACATATTTTTGGCATTTTGTATTATTTTGTATGTATGTACTGTTTTATGTTGTCACATGCCCATATGGGCCCTGACGTATTCAAATAAACCTTGAAACCTTGAAACCTACGCAGTGATCTCCCCTTACAGGATTAGATCTCTGCCAGTCAAGATTTTTGACGATATGAAGTTTTTCAATTTTTTTATTTATTTTAAAGCTGCATGCCTCAAGATGAGTCAAAATATTTCAATAAAATCAAACTTGAGAAATATGTTATAAGATTTTAGGAAAAGTAAAATGATTCAAGATTCAAGTAATATTTTACATGTTATGTGCGGTTAATGATTGATTTTTCGGTATTTACAAGTATATTTCTACTGCGTTACTAACGCAGTAACGGCTATTTATGCATATTTTGACCATTTTTTAGTAATTTACATGGTTGTAAGTGCCATTGATAATGTGTAAATTGCTTCATTTTGGTTATTTCACAATATTATACATTCAAATACATTTTCAAAATTTTCATGAAAATTAGCATGAATCTGGAGGCGTGCTGCTTTAAAAAGTAAACACGGTTTTGCTAATGTTTCGAGACCGATAGGTGTTAGATGTGAACTAAGACAAAAAATAATTTTGGAAACATATAAATATTATGAAAATAATTTTTAAAAATTTTAATACCGCACCGTTTATTTCCAAAACAATGACCCCTCTCGAAAGAGAAATCATTCAAGTAATTATTAATTTCGTCTCTACGCTTTACAAAAATCTTTTTTTTTTTCAATCATATCGACATATTTGAGACCAGAGTTCAAGATTAAATGTCGCTGTTTATTACAGAAAAAAACATTTTTTCAGTTTCAGTTTTTATTAAACCAAGGCATACATGTATAATATGCAACTGGTTATAACAACAAACAAACAGAAAAATAACAGTCAAAAACCACTAATATCACAATATAAAAATACAATTATGACTAGCTAAATAAACAAAAAGGAGATCATATTGTTCATTTCAAGTACTGAATTCAATATAACATGTATTTTATATTGTAACAAATGGGAACGGAGAATGAGAAGTATTAGTTATCTAAATTTTAACATAATGTTTTTACAAAATAAAGATAATTTTGGTAGAATATTTTTTGGTAAAACCTGGGAAGAAGAGATTACGTCTTTATGTCATTAAAGTACGAAACATTCAAATATGTAGTGAAATTCATCACCAAATAGCTTGATACGGAACATTAAGGAACAGACCCTATTATTATGATCAATTTGCCAAATGGTCCTGCCTTTTTCGATTGGTAATAGGGTAAAATTTAACATAAATATTTGCCTATGTTCAATAAGGAAGTTACATCTAGATATTTTTCAAAAACAATGAGTATTTTTATATGTACGATACAACTAAACACTTAAGAGGATGTAAATCATAGTAAACTCATGCCAAATAATTGTAAAAATTGATCATTGTAGTCTAAAGCTTCACAATATTTTTAAAGTGATTAATATTGATCTACCTTCTGTAAATGAAAATATTCTGACATGCCAAGGATTACTAAGTGTTTCTTTCACAAAATTTATCCATTTAAGAAAATTAACAATACTTGCTAGAGGACAAAGACAAAACTTGTTTTTATAAAGAAGTTTACATATCTTATTTTCCTTAGCATTTATAATTTTACTCCAGAAACACAGAAACTCTTGCTTTCACTTGTAAGGCAATGGGAAATACTGCCTAACTCACCATAAACCATAGCAATTAGGTGTGAAGCTTTTAAAATTCAAAATAAATTTACAAAAATAAACTGAAATTTCTCTAGAATTTTGAACTTGTTCGAATCCCCAAACTTCACTTCCATAATAAAGAAGGATAGGTACAACGCATAGAGTTAAATAAATGTAGTTGCATAAAAAAATTTTAACAAGAATTTTTTTTTATTTCAAAAAATTTACCATTATAATTAAAAAAGTACTCCAAAGGTAAGTAAAGTTATCTACCAAATCAAAAGCTTTTTACCATTGTAACATGAAATCAAAGTCATCCTTAGGTTTTGACTTACTAAAAACCACTACTTTAGTCTTAGCTTCATTTACAACAAAGATTCCATATATTACAGCACTCACTCATAGCATTTAAGGCATCTTGCAAATCAGTTTTGCTTTCTGCTAAAAGCACTGTATCATCAGCAATATAACAAAAAGAAACAAATTTAACATAAACATCAATGACATCGTCACTAAGACATTCCCGAGTTGCGTTAGAGATATTTACAAGTCCTGTATATTTATTAGATACAAATTCTGACAAATCGTTCAAAAAGATAGAAAACAAAAATTGGTGAAAGATTTTCACCTTGACGTACACCGGTAAAAAACTACTAAAGAAACTAGTCAACTCACAGTTTTACTTTACACAAAGATTTAGCCTTACTGTACATATTGTGGATTATACCAAGACACTTACCATCAATATTATGTGACAAAAATTTGTGTGCCATAAATGAAGTCGATTAACAGAATCAAATGCCTTCCTATATGTCAACAAATGCAAAGTAAAAAGCTTTTTTATTACAACTTAAATAATAATCAATTAACATCTTTAAGGAAAACATATGATCAGTGGTACCATATTGTGATCTGAACCCAGCTTGTTCTTCGTTAAGTAAATTGTGGCATTCCAAATACTCATTCAGTCTCTTATTTAGTATATTGGTAAATAATTTGCCAAAACAACTTAAAATGGTAATCCCTCTATAATTGTTGGGATCAGATTTGTCACCCTTATTTTTATATATAGGATTAATAATACCCTGACTCCAAATATCAGGAAAAATACCTGAATCCAAAATAACATTAAACAATAAACAAATAACATTTAAAACAGATTCATTATTTACATTTTTTAGATATTCATTTAATATATTATCAAACACAGAAGGACTTTTATTATTATTATTTTTTTTTTTTACAACTTTTTTAATTTCCTCAATAGTTATTTCTGCATTAAAAAAAATTTAAGAAGCTATTATTACAACTTACATTCTCAAGATCTAAATCATCTAAATTGTCAATATCTAGATCAGATTCATTTAATTTAACAAAATGTTCAAAAAAGACTTCTTTTGAAATATTATTAACAGTATCCCTGCTATCCGTGCAGTATCTATTTAACCAAATTCCAAAAAAGCTTTTGGGTCTGACGACTTTAACCAAGTATCCGTTTATTAATATTATCTTGATAAGACTTAATTTTCTTGTTTATCATCTTTTTTATAAAGATTTTCCACTAGACACCATTGATTGGAAGTTAGTATCCAGTCTTATTTCTTCTATAATAATTCTTAATCTGACAAGTATGTTCTTTTTGCTACTTTACAATCATCATCAAACCACTCTTTCTGACGTGATTTCTTACGTCTTTTAGTACTTTTTTGTACAGTATTTTTCACATCAATAATCAAGTGACAGCTATCAACAGCATTAAAATAGTTTTGAGAAATTTCTCAGTAAAGTTATTAATAGTATTATCACAATAAGTTTTACTTGTCAACAATTCTGAGAGTTCTACTTGTAATACAGAAAACACTGTCTAAATCAAACTATTTTTAAAACACATCATTCAAAGCTTTTATCCCATATGGGTTTTTTAACAGTAAGCACCACTGTCATGAATATCAGTGACACATGAACTATTTTGTGTTAAACATAAAATAGAATCAAAACTTAATACAAAAAGAAATGCTATTATGAATATCCGATAAAATGGGGTCAAAATCGCAAATTTCAAAATCAACAATATTTGGAAAAACACATGGGGAAAGTAAAACATAATCAACTAAACTGGTATTTTTACAAGTAGTTCGACCAACATGAAGAAGTTTCAAAGATTTCATTGGCGTATACGCCATTTTTACACAATCATGTGATAAGACCATCATCACGTGATTTGTGGTAACCT